ACGATCTTCGGCTAGATACGCCGCTGCTCTACCACTTGAGCTATCGTGACTTCGATCCACTCGGACACCAACTTCCCATCTCAACCACACCTTTTTGAATTTTCTGTTTGTTCACAAACCCCAAGATTTTGGACCATTTTTATCTCGGGGAGTGATTTGGTGATGTCCGCTCCTTCAAAGATTTCAAATCTGGTCCTAGCATACCTATCACACTCTGCGAGGTAGTGCCTTACCATTTCTTCTTTTATTTCGCAAAAACGGCAAAAGGGATCTGGTAGGATTACGAAGGGGTAACTTCTCAGTGGGCAGTGGCCCGTCATAATACCTATCAGCCTCCTAATTCCCTTCCTTGAGATAGAGAATAGCCTGCTGGTTTAATCACCTTAACAAACTTTTTCGATTGCCAATTAATCTCATAAAATGATTATTGGCCGTTTAGCACATAAGGGTAAATGTAGGAACTCTTAGAACTACTCTTTCAGTTCTTTAGAGCCAAAGAAATTTAAAAAAATTAATATTAAATTTACTTGTTATCAAGGTGCTTCTAATGTATTGATCCTTGTTTTCTTTGCTACTTTTTCTATTATTTTAGTATTTCTGTAAAAATTCCCACTGTATGCATCGGCTAGACATGAATTTCAACATTTTCCAGTCTTTAAATATATTGTTAGTTAATTTTACTGTTTGTAGTTTATGGTGAATGTCTTTCAGTTATTAATCAAAGTGCTGCAGACAATCTAAAACTAGTTTCACAATAATTCAAATTTTTGTTTAATTGTCAAGTATTATTTGTCTTATTTCAATAGTAATTCTCCTTTTATATAATTTCTTTACAAATGAATTTATTATTGTGTGTACACATCATGAAAATGACTCATTCAGCAGGAAAGAATTGGCACAAAATGTTGTATTATAAAAGTAGCAAAGAACTAAGTTTTATGCATAAGTAACACTATCAAAATTTCTCTTTTAATTTTGTGAGAGAAAATTTTTTCTTCTAAATAAAAAACTTTTCTCATCTTGTTAGTAAATTTTTATAGCTGGCTTGACAATTTGCAAACAAAATATTCAGGCTAAGATGATCAGGCTGAAAAATGTTCAAACATTGCCCCAAACAAATCATAATATTATTATAAATTCACTAGTTTTCGTGGTCCGCTTGACCAATTAATATCATTCAATTAATTAAGGTTTTTAGTTGAGATAAAAAAGTGTCACGAGCGGGATTCGAACCCATGACTTTTGGCTTAATATGCCACTACTCTACCACTTGAGTTATCGTGACTTGAAAAATGGCAAAAAAAGGAGGGAAAATTCAAAAAGGTAGGGTTTAGATGGGAAGTTGGTGTCCGAATGGATCGACGTTATAATAGCTCAAGTGGTAGAGTAGCGGCGTATCAAGCCGAAGGTCGTGGGTTCGAATCCCACTCGTGACACTGACTTTTTTTATCTCAACTAAAAACCTTAATTAATTATTATAAATGTATAATTCAAAAATTGTAAGCTAAGTGATAATTTAAAGAACTACTAAAACAATTTCCATAGACAATAAACTTCATGAAAGCGGTGTCCGCAATGGCTTAGGCGTTGACACAGTGCTCGTCAATGTAAGTTAAAGGTTTCTACTTAGTGAGTTCAAACTAACATAATTACAAAACTTTTTTTCAAAAACACCGGCACTCAGGGTTCATGTGACCTCTGTTGTTCTGAACCCCCCATAAAATTAAAAAAATAATAAATAAATGTTATGTACATATTTATAGCTTAGGCCAAAATCTTGGTCGCAAGGAAGCCAAAATTATGTTACAAAATGCTTACAGTTGTTGTTATTGCTTTTTGATAATATCTATTTACAGTGTGTTACTTACCGGATTGTTTGGATTATAGATGTTCATGTCAGTACTAAATCCGGCAATCGGGGTGGCAAACTTCTGTCCGAGAGTCATAAGCTTGTAAACCTCGTCGAAAAAAGATTTCGTCGACCAAGCTAGACGCTTCATCTGGCTGCCTGTACCCCAATCTTTCACGAGCATGCCTTCCGTCGATATTTGGCTTGCCAGCAGGCATACGAAGGTCAACGCAAACTTAACAGGGAGAAAAATCAATTTCAACACACCAACACAAAATATACACAACCTAATGGGGGGAAAAATACCTTGGCCATGTTTTAAACACAAAGTTAAATTTGTTCTGCTGGTCTGATATATTGTTCCATTTAAAACTAGACCAGATTGAATGATATCTATGAAAATATGTTTAATAAATAGGAAGATAGTGTTATCGATTGAACTCAAACCCAGATATCCATCTTCTACAAAACCCATAAGATAAAACTTGTTGTCAAAATTTTCCAACAATTATAATTTTCTAATAAATACAGTTTGGCATATAAAAACATTTAAAAAACAAAAACGCAAATTGCACTTGTTTGTCTACAACTTAACATTATTATAAAACTTCACTACAAACTTCATAATTTTTTACAATGCGATTGCAAAACATTGCTTATATAACACTAATTATTTTAGTTCATATTTCATCTTGGCTAAGATTTAATAATTTCAAATAAATAACATGGGCAGGGAATATTCAGACAATAGATCCATTCCTTTCGGCAAGAGGTCTTTAGAGATGAAAAAATAAGAAAAATTGTGACCTCTAGAATCATTGAATAATAATAATAATAATTAAATTCACTGATTTCGTGGTCCGCTTGACCAATTAATATATTACAATTAATTAAGGTTTTTAGTTGAGATAAAAAATTGGAGTGGATCGAAGTCACGATAGCTCAAGTGGTAGAGCAGCGGCGTATCTAGCCGAAGATCGTGGGTTCGTATCCCGCTTGTGCCATTGACTTTTTTATCTCAACTAAAAACCTTAATTAATTGTAATAATAATAAATTCCTTTTTGTATAAGGGTCAAGTTTGTCATACCTAAGATAAAGAAGAAAGCCAGCCCCACCAAACTGAGAAACAACTTGTGTGCGGCAGAATTTTTAGTTGGTTCCATTTACAAGATAAAATGTACACCTTCTTTGTATATAATATTTTCACACTTGTCTTAAGTATAATTATTAGCTACAATTATTGTATATAATATTAATGTTCCTGCTCATGGACATACATCACTCCATCTCATACTTCACAACTACCTTACTGACTGGTTGATGCTGGCATTCTTCAGTGTTTGGTACCTAACTTTACCAGGTGTTAACCGTGGACATCCCATACTAAAACCACCACCCTGACCTTGTTACGTTTGTAACATGGTATGAATGTATTATTATTTATTTAACCAGGCCTCATAAATTACAATGCCACCTAAACTAAAATTGGCGTTGGGTCAATCAAAATTAAAACAGCCTAGGACAGGCTTAGGAGGAGTGCAGGAAGAGAGGAGTGAGTCGAAGAGAGGACAGTGTGCGTCGAGACGGATATCCCTACGGCCTGGTCGGATCATAGAAAATCATCAATTCCTTGCTCAATGAAGGCGACCGCGGACCCACTCAACTTCAGAGGTGCTCCACATTTTCCTGGAAGCAGGGATTTTCAATCATTGGGAAAAAGAAACATATCTGGACAGTGGTTCCCAGGAAAGTTTAGTTTTTAAGGAATGTTTATTTAGATTTTAAGATAATTTAGGTTCATTTAGTGTGTAAGTTTGTTAAAATGTTACCCGTAGAGAGTTAAGATTCATATATGTTTAATATTTTAGTTTTCTTTGTAATAAATGTTTTTTTTTTTTTTTTTGTTCGCTGTTTCCGTGTCATATTAAACAGCGTGGCCCCCATTTTAATTTAATATTACATTAAGTAACCCCGCCCGTCTCCACGGAGCAAAGCCGGCAAATTCTCGGCATAAAAAACTACCATTGCAGATGACATGTACGATTCAGCGACCTCTCAAGTAAGTCTGATCCTGATGTTTCCAACCTTCATCAACACCTCACACTACTGGTCTTGGTGTGAAAAGAATATAATAAAATTTAACACAGAAAAATCCATTCAAATATCCTTTAGTCTTTACAAAAAAGATCTCTCCTCCAGTTTACTTCAACACAATCCCTCTCCCAACTGCAGGCAAGATGAGGTACCTGACTGTACATTGACTAATGTTTAATAAACAAATTGTCAAGAAGTTATGAGGGTCAATAAAATACAGGGCTGACAAATAAAAGGCTGCTTTATACCTTAGTAAGCTGATATGGACTGGAAATGTGAAGTTTGGCCTTATGAACTACTTGCTTAATACGTGATGCATATTCTTCTTTTGGGGGAAGGATTGCATGTGCAAAAAAGTCACAGGCAATGGAGGGAATCGAACCCACGACCGCGTTGAGTCTATCACGCTGACCACTTGGCTACTGCGGTCCTTAAGTGTGGAGTTCTGCCAAACATTCCTTTTCTTCGCAACCAAACTGCCCAAACCTAAGAAAAATCCTTGATACTCCATTTTGTCCGACGTAACTACTAATACAGACCTAAATATTACTTTTGTACAAGATGTAATAGAAAATACACCATTACGTCAAGTTTCAAAAACCCTTCCCAAACACCATAAATCCAGAAACTCTCAACACAACAAATTCCCTCAAACCCTCCTCCCGACTAAAAATACAACTGCCGTGGGATCTCCAACCAGTGGAAGCGGTAGTGACACAAGTGTTAATTAAATACACAAAATATCCAAAATTTTATTATCATTGAAGTACTCTCATCGAGTAGTTTCTACACTGTTGTTTTTAATTGTATATACATTTTTCTTTTAAACTGTTACTTGTTAATTGTTTTTGTTGTTGTGCCATAGAGGACTGTATTCTTGTGGTTTAGACATGTGACCACCCTGCAACAATTCCTGTTTGTTTTGACTGTTAGACGTGTTTTTCGGCATTTCAATAGTATACAATCATATTGTCACCTGGCATATAAAACGAGCAAGAATCTGCTGACTAGGCTGACAGAATCACTTCATAGACCTAACTACAAACTTTTTGTTGTTTAGTTTATAATTTCCATGTTTGGTTCTGAAATTATTTATTTATGATCCAGAGGCTTACTCCAGTGAATAAGATGAACTTATTAATTTTTTCTCTTTAATTAAAAAAATGATTAAGTTCACTATTTTTTGGGGCCCGCATGACCAATTAATATCATACAATTAATTAAGGTTTTAAGTTGAGATAAAAAAGTGAAAAATGGCAAAAAGAAGGGAAAATTCAAAAGGTGCAGTTGAGATGGGAAGTTAGTGCTCGAGGGGATCGAAGTCACAATAGCTCAAGTGGTAGAGTAGCGGCGTATCAAGCCGAAGGTCGTGGGTTTGAATCCCGCTCCTGACACTGCCTTTTTTATCTCAATATATAACCTTAATTAATTGTATGAGGTTAAAAAATAATTTTTCTACATACACAAAATGTTTCAAAATAATAAATAAATGTTACATTTTACTTAATAACAGTAAAAAACATTATCTCTTACTTTGTACACAATACATTTCCAATATATAAGAGCAATACAAATAAATATTTCTTGACAAGTAAAATCAATCCAGGTATGGAAAAATTCTTTCATACTGCTTGAAATTGCAATTTAAATCCAGTTTTCAGTTCACTTTTTTCACTTATTTCTTCATTCTTATCTTCCTCTACAACTTGTGATTTTTTTATTATGTTTTTTAATAGCCCATTCCTAATCAATTCTTTCAAAGTAATTGCTAAATTAAAAATATTCCGTCCACTATTGTGAGAATGGAATGAAAAAAACACTCAACCAACTTAAAAAATAAATACAAAATAATAAAGCAGAAAATTACCAATAGTAATTGTTGTTTATATTTTAATTTAAGTTATTTGAAACAGCTTATGCCCTCTTAAGTTGAACTTAGCACAATTACTTTAATAATTTATCACTTGACCATTAAAATCAACTAAAACTCAAATTTCATTAATAACCGTCCAAGTACCGAATTAACTCCCAATTGGGCATTGTGGATGAACGGTCAAACCACTTGACAATACTTTAAGCGAATAATTCTCAAATATAATTCCATGGGCTGTGTCAGGATTTGAACCCTTAACTAGTACAGCAAATGCAAGAATACCCTAACCAATAAACAAAATTACTGCTGACCTTATTGAACAAAATTCCAAATTGTTTGCTTTCATAAATAATAAGAACTGCACATTATTTGAAAACATTTAAACCAACCACAATTAAAACAAAATTTCTTTACATTATATAACAATTTTCCTGCTAAGTGAATTTAATTATTTTTCTAGCAAAAACTCATTTATTTGGTCTGCAATAAGCACGGGAGTTTCAAGGTGGACATGGTGGCTTCCCTCAACATCAAGACGGACCAGTTTCTGACAAGAAGATTTCATAAGATCCAAATGTTTTTCGTAATTAATAAAATTGTTGGCTAAAATTCCTCTTGAAGCCCTAATAGATAGAACAGAGCATTTTATCTGTTTTGCTGCTGCTTCGATGAACTCGAGTGCAAACGTGCCTTTGTAACATGCAAGCAATCTCAGATCTGATGTTCGGATGAATTTATTAGGCGCTACTTCTTTCACTTCCCTTTTTATCAATGCTTCGTACGCATCGTCAGTCAGAGGGCAATTTTTAATCAATCGAAAATTCACAAAATCGTCATAATGTTCTTTAAAATCTAGTTGAACGTTTTGTTTATTCTTCGCATCGGGATTACCGTCGAAAGAAGCCTTCAGTTTCATTCTGAAATTCTCAGGCGTAGGTGCTATAGCATACCTGGCGCAGTCAATGCTTACAAATTTGCCAACATCGTTTGGATACAACGATGAGTAAAAGTACGCCAAGCTGCTGCCGAACGAATGTCCAAGCAAATCGACTCTATCCCAGTTGAAATGGCCCTTAATCAGCGACCTCAGCCAGAAGAGAATGTCTAAATAATTATAGAAAATTCCATCGGGGATATGGGATGAGAAACCATGTCCTGGTATGTCGATCGCAACGATGCTCTTGGCATTCAATAAAGGGAAGAGACGGTCAAATGTCCCACAGTTGTCCAAAAAGCCATGAAGTGCCAACATTGGTCTCACCTGTTGATCACCCCACCATTTACCTGTAGATGATATTCTTTTAATTCTTGAGGAAATTCGAGCAAATTACAATTTGTTAAATGACAACTATATGACGTAAGAATGATAAAGATGAAGACGGACGAGGAACATCTTGAATTGAAATTTTGGATTTAAAGCGAAAGTGGGCCAAAAAATGTGTGGAGGTGTTACTTGTAAAAGAGTGGCAATAGACAGATTAGAATGGGAAAAAGGTGTGAGTAGCCTACTCAGAAGCCTGGATTGCATTAAAATAGCAGGTCCAAAAGAGATCCATTACATTAAATAAATAAAATAAAATCCATAGTGAATTGAGCAGTGACAGAATGTTGAGAAAATGTGTGAATAAACAATTTTCAATAGTACATATAGTTAGTTATATTGACATTTACACTTTCCAGTATATGTTGAATCGGCATTGGGTTACTTATTGGGTCTGTCTACACTCATGGGTTTTTGATGTAACTCAAATACGTTTAGGCTCATCTTCGGTGAGGAACTAGACAGACCCACTAAGTAAATAAATACCATTTATCTATCGAATATCATGATCAAGCTGCTGAAAATGTTCAACAAATTGCAGACCACGCTATTCCAAGTAATACATTTTTGCAAGTTTGATAAGATTTTTTTTAACGATTGGTTGAATGAAAAATAATTTAATAAAAGAAAAAAGTAAATAAAAGAAAATGCATTTCTATAAGCTAGTATAACACAAAACAAAAAACAATAAGAGCATTAATCGCAAAATCATTTGTTTGAGGTGGTAGCCAGGAGAAATTCACACATAGATGTTAGGTACATTTTCAAAAATACTAATTTAATCAAATGCAATAATTCTAAAACATTATCTAATCATGGGAATTAATTTCGTGCAACGATACACTATCAAAAAGCTCTCAAAAAGATAACCAAAACTGAAAGACTGGAAAACTGCAAAAAAATGGAAGTCTTTAATCAGGCAATGAGAGTGCCCTGACTGAATAAGAAAGATAGACTTTTAACTTTATAAGAATAAAAGGTAAATCCAGAAAAAAATCAATGTTGCAACATTCGTGGATGACTCAGTAGTATATGCAACAAATTGAGATATCGAGAGAAGAACTGTGTTCAAGCAGCGTTAGAAACAATCACTTCTTTCTGCACAGTGTGGAAGCTGGTCGTCAATCCCCCAAATGTGAGGCAAAAGTTTTCATGCTAAGAAGACCCAAAATGCCCGCCATACTCTCCATAGAAGGAACAAGTGCTCCATGGGATCCGCCTGACAGCGCCATCAAGTAATATGGTGTGTGTGGTGAAAATACATGGAATTCTCACATCAACAAGAAGCTGTCGGAGGGGTATGCTCGATATGGGCATGCTCTACTGCATGATGAACCAATAAGTCCAAACTAAAGCCAAAATTAGGACTCCTACTCTACTTAGTCTATCTAGTCCTTAATAAGACCTTTGGTGTTCTACGTTGCGGGGTCTGGAGAGTGGCTTCTACTTCAAAACTTAAAAAAATATCCAAATCCAAAGTACTACGGATCGCTATGGATGCAGAGTGGTTTGTCCAGAATGCCCAGCTTCACTGCCAGTTTCAACTGGACAGCATCAAGGAACACATCAGGACGAGGTTTAGGACGTTTCACACAAAGCTTCCCCAGCAGGTGCAGACAGCAGTCCACTTCAACCAAGGCAGCGGGGTGGCCTTCCATCTAAGAGCAGATATGTGAAAATGTCTGTGATATGTGATATTTTATGTGATATTTAAATTTATAATGGAAATAGTAGTATAAGTGTTTAAGCTGTTAGAAAAGCTCCAAATGCAAATGGGCTCCTGTGGAGCAATTGTTCTAGCGCATTCCATTATAAATATCTTCAATCTCAGAAGCACTAAGTAAAACAAATGTAATTGTTGGGCTAGTGAAAATGAAAAAAAAAAAAAAAAAAGTCAGTTGTTGCTTCTAAGTAGGGCATGTAGTTGTGTGTAAAATTCAAGAGAATAGTTTTTTTTTTGTCTTATGGTCTAGCATATTGGCCAAATTTCTAAACTTCAAATATATTATTTTGGGATAGAAGCTTAGAGAGGATTATTTTGGGATTGCGGGTAAAAGAGAGTATAACGGATATTGAGGTAGGAAGAGGGATATTGTTAGAAATTAGAGTGTTGTGGAGGGAATCTCAGTTGATGGAGGTATTGGGACAGGCTAGTAGAATATGGTTGGAATCAGCTATGCATGAGGGGTCGCAGGAGCAGTAAGGTGAGTCTAGGATATTTATTTTATAGAGGTGGGAGGGAAGACAATTGTGGTTTAGGAGAAGCCGAATTATAGAGTTGAGGGAATGGCGAGGACAATTGTAAAATCGGAACCAAGGGAAAGTTGGAATGATCAGTTGGATGAATTTATAAAATTTTCCTTTTATGCTGGCGGAGTATTCATTTTGCCAACGGAGCTTGCAGTAACTGTTTATGTGGGCTCTAAGATCTCTAGGGGAAATAAGAGAGCAGGGAATGCTAGCGAAGGCCGCAGCCTTGGCCAGCCTGTCCGCTTCATCATTAAATTTGTTGTTGCTGTGGCCTTTAGTTCAAATTATGTGCACTACGATGCCTCTATTGGTTAGTTGAATGATGGTGTTAAATATATGAGATATTAAAGGGTGGTTAGAATTGTGGATATTGGAAATGGCGTATAGGATACTCTGACTGTCGGAAAAGATAATCAGAATATGAGGATTAATTGATTGGGCATATTTTAGGGATTCTAGGATTGCAAGAGAATAGTTAAAATAGTTAAATAAAACAGTTTATGAATAAAAAACCGATCGAATTGCTCGTACCCCCAAAGCTGGGAAGTATAGCACATCAAGTGACACACTGCCTTAAAAGCCTTGAACTTAATATTAGGTGGAATAGAAAGGTTTGCGAGAAGATTGGACCAGACCGAATTAATTGTAAATTTCAACATATCTATTTTATTTTTGAGGTGAGACGTCAGAGGCATAAAGAGCACCCTTGGATATTTATACTCATAATGTCGATTTTTCTGTCTCCAAAGAACCATCACTCTTTACCCACCTTCCTACCCCCACTATCAAAAACTACGATTTTTTTATTTATTTAAATTTCTAGCAGGGGCCAATTTATTAAAAGCATCAATATTCTTCTACAAGATGAATGAAGAGCTATCCATTATGACATCCGCATAAAAATATGCTTTTTATTTTAATGTAATTCTAAATTTTATCAGCTTCTATTAAATATATAAATACTCAATTAATTATACACAATTTTTTTCGAAATGAAAAATTTGTGTGACAGGCGGGATTCGAACCCACGACTTTCGGCTAAATACGCCGCTGCTCTACCACTTGAGCTACCGTGACTTCGATCGCCCATGCCACAAACTTCTCATTTCGACTACCCGATTTTATTCTAATTATAAGCAAATCGCAGCTTCATATAGAAACACTTTTTATTAACGATTATTCTAGATTAGCGGGACTGTGTACGATTCACAGGTGTGATTTTAGATTAATACTAAATTTTATCAGCTTCTATTAAATATATAAATACTCAATTAATTATACACAATTTTTCATTTCGAGAAAAAAATTGTGTATAATTAATTGAGTTAATGTAATTCTTTCAATTTCTAAGACATTAGAGCATAATTTTTTTGAAATCTAGAGCATCATGGAGAATATAATAAAGAGTGAAAAAAAGGGCTAAGACCAGCCCTGACTAATCCCAGATTCAACCAAAAAATATTGGGACCATATTATTTAACTTAATGGAACTGAAATTAGTGGGGTATTTTTGTTGATTTTTTGTTGTTTTTCCATTGTTTGTTTACTGAATACAATTTAATATTACAAAGCTGATTATGGTTTATTTCAAATGTAACCACTGCATTATATTACTGCACAATATTTCTCTAATTGGCTACCAAATTACCATTTTAATAAAAAATGCAATCATCCAAGTATTCGATAGATACAAAACCGAAAAGCAACAGGATACTGAAGTCTGAAGAAAAAGTCTTTCTTGGTATACCAGTCTTCAGGCACCATGTTTATTAATTTGTCATGGGCATCTTTTTATACATTTGTAATGTGAATGTGAAAGTGAATAAACGTATGAAATAACACAAAAAATACAGAAACAGTTCTAGCAAGTTTCGGCATTTTGTCATCATCTATAAAGTAGAGGTAACCTAATACGTAAATCTAAGGTAGATATTTGACCAAATTCTTATCGGGTCGATAGGTTTTTAACATGAAACTATTTGTAGGAAACATGACTTGTGCAAATGTATGAGTCTGTTGAAATTCCATTGATTATTGTATCTTTTGAACCATCTCTGTTTTAATTTTACAGTATACGAAATTTAAAGTTACAAACGTTAAAGTTAAGTTAAAGTTATAATTATTTCACTTTTCGTTCCAATTTTAGTATATGTACCGCCAAAGCGAGTTATTATTATTATTATTATTATTATTAGTCGACTGAAAGATAGTTTTATGGTGAGCAACATAGAGAGAGTGCAAGCCTCCCATCGATATCGTATATATAGGATGCTGGATCACGGAGTCAGATGTGCCAGCTTGGTTGGGGACCAAAAGCCAAATAAGAAAATTACAGACATACGTTGGATCCTAAAACTGAGGGGAGAATTGCTGAACCTACGGCATAAGCCGTATGATCTCCTCAGCCAACAGGAGTGTGAGTTATGTAATTACCGGGTAAAGGAAGACATATTACATTTTGTCGCGGTATGCCCCATTCTGTCCCCCTATCATTTGTCTGCGTTCGGCGAAAGAACCGTATCAATGGACAGATGCATCAGAT